AAAATCACATACTAAAGGGTAAATTTGGGATTTAAAAGTTTATGGAGGTGTCGGTTGATACTATGGTGGTGTAGGAAGAAGCTGTCGGTGTTTTTGTTGCTCAAAGGTTTTGTCAGCTACATAAACTCTAAGAATAAAAAGATATTTTTGTTTTGTTTTTAAATTTAAATCAATTGGTGCCAACTATTCCATTATTTTTAGATGCACAGCTACTATTCAAATTGAGAAAATTTTACTAGAAGATCTATTATCAAATTACCATAATTAACACACTTTTTTAAATGTATAATAAAAAGTAAGTCCTAATTATTATTAGAAAAATAATAAATAGTACTTGAATTTAATTATCCATTTTAGTAGTTTTTATTAATGATTTAATTAGTGATCGATTTTTTATTTTTTATTTTAGTGACCTTATGACTAAATTTTCAGGATCTTCGTCACTAAAATGATCACTTATTAATTTTGAACTTTTTTTATAAACAAATAATTAAAAAAGTATAACTTAAAAAAATTATTTTAGTTTTATTCCCCTCGTTTCTCGCTCTCTCCCTCTTCTCATTCACGGTTCTTTTTTTTAAATTCCTCATATAGTATTATATTTATTGTTTTTTAACAAGTCGGAATTTGGTTTATAAGAAAACGAATTTTGACTTTCAATTTCGTGAATATAGCTGGATTATATGTCGGAATTAGGTTCTCGAGAACATAGTTTCGAACATCTTTATTTTTTCTTTAAAGGTCAGAATTTGGTTTTTGAGGAGTTGAATTCCTAGCTTAAATTTCGTGAATCTTGATTGGGTTAGTCGGAACTCGGTTGATGGAAAACCAATTTCCGAACTGAGTTTCTATCTTATTTTTGTTCATTACAGATCGAAATTTGGTCCTTGAGTAAATTTCGAAGTCGTGTTCATGAACCTTATTCTAGCTACCAATAAGAAGACGTTTTTCGGAAAACTGAATTTTGAGCTGGTTGTGTGGTTTTCTTTATTTTTATAATGAGAATTCGGTTTCCTAAGAGACAAATTCCAACCTTATTTTTCATTAAGACCAACTGGGCTACTACTGGGAACTCTGACTTTATTTATTTTTATTTTATATTTCATTCAAATGAAGAGTTGGGAATCAAAAAAAGTTATATTTTTGTGATGAAAAAGTATTTAGTTATAGTTTTGAAATATTTTTTTTTACTTTCATTTATTAATCCATAGGAGATAGGAATAAAAGAAAAATGTATAAGTATACCAAACAAATATAAATTTCATTACTTTTAATTAAAGACTATTATAAAATAGAAATACGAATTCTATTGCTCAAATTTAAACCATCACAAGGTTGTAATAAAACTCAAATACATAAAGAAATGGAGATTACATTGCCTTATTTACAAAACATCTCAACGATTAACATTAATCACTCCACTATCATCAGTGGATGATGAACTACAAACATCATCAGACATCTCAATCTTCATAATATTCATATAAAAAGATATTGTCTTCTAATGACTTAAGTGTGACTCTCTTAGTTCCAACAAATGAATTCTAATGATATGACACATTTGATAGTAACCTCATTTGGAAAAGTATAGAAGACAAACCTTTCATCTTCAAAATTTACATTATCATCAAAGGAATTGAAATCATCCATCTCATAAAAAAATCATGTTTACTTCTTCTACCAAACAACACCACAACTTCTAAACATATTAGGAACATCCTTTTATAATACTAAAATATGAACCATGAGAAGCAAAGTAACCCTTTTTTGGAAATTTGTCATCAAACAATTCAATTTAGATTAGATTAGATTATGAACTTGATAAAACTTTAGTTGTGAGTTTTATTGGATAAGCATAAAAAGAACTTAATCTTTCAATGAATGTTCACATTGGTAGATGCTTTAACAACCCAATCTGACAATGAATGCTACATGACTACTTTATTGGGTAAGCATGCCAAAAACATTTTTGCTTTCAGTGTAGTTTAATCTTACATTATGTAGAAGATGTTCTAATGATTTAGTCTCTCAATAAATGTTTTCACATGTACTTTGTCACAAAGACAAGACTTAATACCATTATTAGTTAAGTATCTAAGTAGAAAACAATGTGTAGCAAAGGTGTTTGGTGCACTATTTTTAGTAACAAACCAATCATGGGCCAGGTCCATTCTCGCGTTGCACTTTCAAGCCTCTTTAATCCCCCCGTAGTCTTCAGAGCTTGGGGGCTACTATACTAGGGGAACCTAAGAATGTCCAATAACCTAAGATAATGGATTTTTTCTTGCAAAGGCTAGTGTATTATATGTCTAGTACACCTCAACCCCAAGAGGTCAATGATAATGTTGAATTTTACCTATATTTCTTTTATGAATAAGTAAACAAAATCAACTTTGGAATGCAGCTGGAGTTCAGCTGAGCGCTCTTTTACTGGAATTTTGTCGTTGGGTGCAGTTGAGCGGTGGCGATGCTGATATGGCAAAGTTGGTCTATTTAACTCAGAAACGCAAAGAACTTTGCATCTTTTGACACCCAGACACGTTTTCTCTCATTTGGAGCACCTGGAGGTGAGCTAGGAGTTGTGGAAACTGTCCATCTTCTTCCTTGAGTCTTCTTCCTTCTTCCATTTCCACCATTGTTGTAAGCTCAAGTTCTCCATTCATGGAGAGCTAGTTTCATTGTTGTTGAGGGATTGATGTAGCCATTGAACTCTTATGTAAACCACTGTGTTTTGAATGAATATATGTCTCTTTCATTGATTGTTAGTGTTTAATTCCTTTTCTTAATGTTTGTTGTGAAGTTGTTACTCATGACATGATTGTAGGGTTTGCTTGATATTGGGAAATGTTGGATAAATCTGGACTTGGATTGAACACCTAAAGGAAATAGTATCTAGGGATAGAACTAGGACCTTTGGTTGTCTTAAATCTTAATTCTTAATGCGGAAATAGTTGTTAGGTCTTCCAAGGGATTGAAGCCTAATAAAGAAGTGTAGACTCTCTCTACCAATGGATTGTGTTTGAGTAATTTAGTAGATTGACATTGGCATATTAATGAAGAGGAAGTGATTTTCTATACATAAGAGTGAAGTAGGTGAAATCATAGTCCCAACAATATCATTCCATATCATTTCAAATCTTTCCATTTCCAAGTGTTTGAGTATCAAAGATCACTTTTATCATTTATGTTGCATGTTTACTTTAATTGCACTAAAACCCAAATTATGAAGCATTCTTTAGTCTAAGTTAGTTGGAAATTATACGATTGTGTGGTGACACGAGTCTCTTGGGACACGATATCCGGTCTTACTGGTTTTATTACTTGAAACGATTTGGTATACTTGTCAAAGTCTCAACAATCAATGAAACCTTAACAAAACTCCCAACTAGTACATCTTGAATTTAAGGGGCTAGTGTACATATATGCCTAGTAGGCCTTGGCATAGGAGGTCGAAGACACCTCGACAAGACTCTCAACTAACATGTCTCGACTTTTGGGAGGCTACTACACGTATATGTCTAGTACACCTTAACCCAGGAGGTCAAAGATACTTCGACAAAACTCTCGACCAAGTACATCTCGGCCCCCAAGATGGTCGAGGACACCCCGCCATGTGCTACAAAATCAACGACATGTATATCATTATTGTGGTACGAATCTACCTAGGCGAAAGGACAAATTACAAAAAAAATTAATGATAATAGACATACTAAGAAAACTCTAAAAGGAGGTAATCATGTAAGGCTTAAACCTAATAAGTAAGGTCCATTTAAGTATTATAAATAATCATTGTTCATGAAGTAAAGATAAATAGACATACTAAAAAAACTCTAAAACAAGGTAATCATGTGATACTTATACCTAATAAGTAGGTCCATTTAAGTAATATAAATAGTCATTATTCATAAAACATGTTAGTGATTTTATTTATTGTGATATGACTATTTACGGCTAAACATAAGATTAATATACTTCTAAGTATATCTTCACCTAATAGAACTAGTGATTTTATTTATTGTGATATGACTATTTACGACTAGTAACTAACATGATATCTTAATCTAAATATAAGATTAATATACTTCTAAGTATATCTTCACCTAATAAAATTAATGATTTTATTTATTGTGATATGACTATTTACTACTAGTAACTAACTTGATATCTTAATCTAAAAATAAAATTAATATAATTTTAGGTATATCTTTCCCTAACATAACGAAATTAAGTAACAACATTAAATACTTTTAATTATGCAAATATAAGTATATTTAGAATATATAATTTAAAAATTTAAGACATGGATAACTTAAAAAAACTGTAGAAGATTTATGAAATGTCAGAAAATAAAAATAAAACTTATTTCTTTCTCAATCACAATGATATTTTAATATAAAATTCAGGTAAGTAAATAAGTAGAATAATATTAGAAGTTTTTCTTTTACTAAAGTTACCGAAATCTTGTGCAGAAAAAGTTGTTCCAGTGTATTGGAAATAGGTTTGGGTAAAAGTAAGAATGAAAAAAAATTAGAATAATATACAAAATATAAAAAATTTAAATTAATAAATTATATTTTAATTATTATTTTAATGTTTTTTATTATAGAAAAATCAATAAATATAATTGCTCTGATGTCAAATTCGTCTATTGTTATGGTTAAAATTAATTGGTATTGTGTATTTTAAAAATTAGATCTTCATTATATTAAAAAAGAATACTAATATTATATTAAAATATAATTGTATAATCTATTACATAAATAAATATTTTATTATATTGATGCATCTATTCCAAACTTTTCGTATTTTATTTTTTTGTTTTGAATGAAAAGTGAAAAGTATTTAAAAAAGATTGTTTGACATTAAAAATAAATATTTGACAATTTTAGAAATAAAATTATTAAAAAATAAATAAATTTTTGTATTCATACAAATAAAAGAAAATGAAAAATAGTGAGAGATAATATAAAATAAATGTAAAACGTTTTTGAGCATCAAATAAAAATGATTTCTTAATGTGTGTTCTTAAGGTTGGTGGTGTCGTTCAACCTTAGCCATGGAGTCTCTCCCTGGAATTCAGCACTATCACCTCTCACTCTCTCACTCGTCACCACTACGGAGTCTTAAGTTATTGCATGCTTCTTCATTTCCAACACCCATCAGAGCTTCGTCTTCACCCTCACCCAAACAAAACGTATCTTACAAACCCCAAACCCCGTTAACCCAACTTCTCAAAACCCTAAACCCTCTTCTCTCCCCTCTCGTCAAACCCACCTGCATCGCCATAGCCACCACCGCATTCTCCTTCATGCGCCTCCATCCTCCTCCCGTTGCATCGGCGCTAACACATGCCCCTCCGCCACCCTCCTCGGCCTCGGAAATTCTTTCCGACGATACTGCCTCATCGGAAATTCTTTCCGACGAGACGGCAGCGTTGGAAACTCTCCCCGGCGACACTGCCGCATCGGATATTCTCCCCGACGACACTGCCGCATCGGATATTCTCCCCGACGACACTTCCACGTCGGATATTCTTCCCGACGACAAGGCCGCTTCGGAAACTCTCCCCGACGAGGTTGCCCCGGCGGAAACTCTCTCCGACGAGAGCGTGGCCCAAGAGCAATTGAGCGACGACGTCGTTGAGCTTGAGTCCCTCCTACGTACAAAAATGAGAGCCAGCGAAATCGACGAAGCGCTCCTCGTCCTGGACCGTCTAATTGAACTGGAACCGGAAGAGCTGGAGTATCCGTTCGTGAAGGCGCACCTGCACCTCCTCAACGGCGAGCACGAACTCGCCTCGATGGGGTTTGAGGAATTGCTTCAGAGGGATCCATTCCACTTGGAGACGTATCGATGCCTGTTAATGCTAATTTCGGAGACGAAGGCGCCGACCGTGGAGCTTCTGAAGAAAATCGAAGAGGCCGTGAAAGTTTGCGCGGAACAAGAGAGGGA